AAACATTCCCAGATGTCAGGATCACCGAGTGCACCAAGTTCAAGGGATGTGCACCGTCAATTGATACCCCTTGAGACACAAAACTAACAACAGTGCATGCTCAAAGGTCAAAGTCTGAAAGGTCAAAATGAGAAAAGAAAATACACATACAAACAAACTTTACGTTCTGTGAACTCAGACAAATCTTGAGTTTATTAACAGCGGCTCGGGAGCACAGAGTCTCTGTCTGCTGTCCAAGTATGCCAGGCTTTTTTGCGGTTCCTGTTTTCCCAGACAAAGCGTTAGACAATTGGCTTAGACTAGACATTCCATGTTGTGACCATCTGGCAAGTCGTCGACATCTCTGACGCTGCCACTGCATGCAATCCTTTCACCCATTCACGCCACTGCGCATCTGTGGCGCGCAGCAGGAGATAAGATCCGTTCACATGCAGCGCGCGCAGATAGAGACCGTCGGTGAAGAAACACAAAGCGCTTCCGTCATGTCCTATTCTGCCGCAGATTTCACGTAACAACAGTTAAAGGTCAATTCCCGTTTTCAAAAACAAAATATTCTGCAAAGTTTAGAAAAATGACATGGGAATTATGGGAAGATTTGTAAGTCGGTTAAACCTTTGCAGATTGTCATTTTGGCGGTATTCGGAGAAATGGCTGAATAGTCGAATATGTCTCACCTATGTTAGCTCATAGTATAGTTATAATAAAGCTTGGGCTCATCAAGGACATTGCAGCATGTGTATCCAGATCATAGTAAAGTAGCTGACTCTGTGGTTACGAATTGTGAATAACGCAGGACAGAATAATCTATCTACTTACTTTCATAATCATACGTTACTTGCCATGCGGGGTGAAAAAGAAAAAGCTTTTTTTTTTCTTAATCCCGTTATCTTACCATTATTCAAAAAATTAGAATTTTTTTTAGATGTTTCGGAATGTAGCAATAATCATGATTTGTAATGCCGTATAGAGTATCCCAACTTCACGCTCTCTTCAAGAAGGGAACAAATAGAGCTGTCATTGCTCTGTCTATGAAGGTAACCATTACCCAAACGTACCACAGTTTCTTTTTTTGTCGTATGTTGGCCCATTTTTTTATGATTGAAGACAAAGTTACAAATTGTCTGCGTAGGGATTTTGGCTAAACGCCTTTAGTATCAATGCGTTTGTCTTGAGTCTTTTGACTATTATCGTATTATAAAAGTTTTAAAACCCGTGAAAAGAATTTTTCAAATAGAGCAGGGGAAGTAGCGTTTGTGAGTAGTTGGATCATTTTGGAGATGGTTGCTTCAACCCTACCTTCCAAAATCAACCCTCTACGTTAGAGATACTGCAGCAGAGAGACGGAAACATCCAACTAAATCTTCTCCAATTAACAATCGAATTCACATCGTACCCGTGCAAACCTGGAGAACCTATCCCTTGCACTACAGACGCTGGTTTCCTTGGGGAGCAGAGATAAAGCTGAATGTCATCTTTAAAGTTAAAATAAAAATCTAAATTTGAGTATCCCTTCCATTCTGAGAATTTATGCGACTTGACAAAATTCCTCAGACGTGCACGGTTGGAGGACGCCTGTGGTGCAATCTAATTTTTTAATTAATTTTTTTTTTTGGGGGGGGTGTCTTTCCTTCTGCTACTTGTCTCTCTTTGTCTTGCTCTTTCCAGCATTAGATGCCTATTATCAAGCCGATGTGCTCCTTCTTACTTAAACTAAACTAGAGCTGCTCTGAAGGGTTCGTGAATTTCAACTTCAGCATCGCAATCATTTATGCAGTGTCAAATACGAGAAAAAAAGATGCATGTTGATTAAAAGATAGGGTATTATACAACCAACGACATCTCCATGACGCCACCTTAGAATTTCAAAATACTATCTACAATTTTGGCCGTTTAGAGTTTTTAATACCAAGAGGTCAGAAACCAAATATTCTGTCTGTTCTATCAAAATCGTAATACAGTTTTTGTAACAATTAAAGGATAACACTGTGGCACTTTTACGGAGAACTCGCAAAGGGGAAGAGCAAGACAAACACACGATACAAGTAGAGGGATAGTAAAGCAGAATGAAAGAGCTTTGTTGCAAATGCTGTCCAGGAGAGTCAATGGTTAAAGTAACTTTGAACCTTTCATTCGGAACGTATTTGACCTACAACGTACATCTGGGGTATTCACTCTCAGAGGGACCCACCGTGACACCATGTTGGGAAGAATCTTGTAATTCATTTTAAGTATACGGTGGGAGAGGCGGGGTTCAAAATTTACCTTTATAGATTCGGTTTCAAAATGTTCTCTCATTGTATTATAAGCATGAAACCTTATACACGAAAGTATCTAACGCCAAATTTCCCCAGCATGAAGTCACCTCGGGATGCCTGCATTGGTTCCTCTCGCTCATGTCACTTCTTAGTGAGAAGAAAACTGAAAAGTAAAATTAGAAATTTTAAAAAAAAACTATCCTCTGCCCCACAATATATCCTCTTTTAAAAGCGGAGCTTCTACAGCATTGTATCAGAATGAGTAAAAGATGCCCGCCAGGCGTTGGGTTGATGGGAGCGGACAACAAAGACATACTCTGTGAACCTACCGTCTCTCGCTTACTCTCCCACCCTGTCTGTCTGTCTGTCTGTCTGTCTGTCTGTCTGTCTGTCTGTCTGTCTGTCTGTATGTATGTCTCTAG